TAGGTTATAAAAATGATCTTTTTTGAGGGGTAGGGCTTACCTTTATCACTCTTGGGATAATGGCCTAGTATATGCATTTAAATACTGAAGCCATTTGCTACCTTTGTGTGCCTGCATACATAACCTAATTCTCCTGCTTCTGGCCATTTAGAGCTTTTATGATTAGGAAGTTAACTTTTAGTAAAAAAAAAGAATATATTAAAAAAAAACCAAAAACTAATCATTGCAGACTCTACATAGGTTATAAAGATGATCTTTTTTGAGGGATAGGGCTTACCTTTATCACTTTTGGGATAGTGGCCTAGTATATGCATTTAAATACTGAAGCCATTTACTACCTTTGTGTGCCTGCATACATAACCTAATTCTCCTGCTTCTGGCCATTTAGAGCTTTTATGATTAGGAAGTTAACTTTTAGTAAAAAAAAAGAATAAAAAAAACTTTTAGTGTATACTTTGATTGTCTATGGTATTTACATCAAGTTATAGTAAAATTTAGGTCAAAACTACTTGGTTTCTTTTTTTTTTTAAATATATTTTATTGATTTTTTACAGAGAGCAAGGGAGAGGGATAGAGAGTCAAAAACATCGATGAGAGAGAAACATCGATCAGCTGCCTCCTGCACACCCCCCACTGGGGATGTGCCCGCAGCTAAGGTAATGCCCTTGACCGAAATCGAACCTGGACCTTTCAGTCCGCAGGCCGACGCTCTATCCACTGAGCCAAACCAGTTAGGGCTACTTGGTTTCTTAAAATAATTTGTCATGAAAGATGATGATTATAAAGATGAATGTATGGAATAATATAATCAATACTATTTTCCTATTTCTCAGCTTAAAGAAATCTTAACATTTGCCATATTTACTTCAAATGAAACCCTCCCTTTTCCCCATAGCTCAGTGATTTATCACAAGAACATTGCTAGCATCCTAGAAGCTCCCCTCATGCCTCCTCTTATCACTAATCCCCAAAGGTAACCATTATCCTAAAATATATGATAAATAAATCTGTGTGTTTTTTTTGTAATTTTACCACTTAAGCAAGTATCTCTAAACACTATAGTTTTGTCTTTTTTTAAAATTTGATATAAATGGCATTATATAGTAAATAGTTTCTGTGTGTGTGTGTGTGTGTGTGTGAGAGACCTCTTTTGCTTATCATTATATGTGAGATTCATTCATGATGGTGCATATAACTGGAATTTGTCCATTTTCATTGCTGTAAAATATGCCATTATATATGTCACATTTTTAAAAACATATTTTATTGATTTTTTACAGAGAGGAAGAGAGAGGGATAGAGAGCTAGAAACATCGATGAGAGAGAA